TGCAGGCACCGATGATGGTCTTCTTACGCCCAAGTCTGTCCGAAACGAAGCCGGTCGCGAACGCCGAGACGAAGAGACCGATTGTCGTTGCTGCATTGAGGATTTGTTGATCTCTGGCACTGACGACCCATTCGCCGTCGACCTGCTGGCCAAATTCCTCAAGGAAGGGCGTTACAGCAAGCAGGTTGCCAACAGTGCTGGCCTCGTAGCCAAAGTTCACCGGCAAGAGGAAGATCAGGAGGCCTTGATGCGAGCGTGAGTTGGAGATAGCTTCTGCCTCATGAGGTTCATCAACTTACACCATCCAAGCACTCTCTTGTTCTCCCATATGTACTGCAAAGTGATCTTCTCGTCCTGGTGATTGGCGACCGACTCAAGGTCAACATTCGTCGGTGCTTCAACATGCTGCGACGCATGTAGATCCTTCTTTGAGGCCGTCTTTTCGGTTAATGAAGCCATTGCGGATATGTCCTCACTTGAGTCGAGGTCAAGTCGACGCTTGCGAATAGACAACCACGTCGCAATAGAAGTGGCCACCCCAAGCTTTATACACGACGGTAGGTTTTCACCTCCCGTTCGCTTCGCCGAGGTGGTGCCACGAGCCTCACTATTGCCGAAGGTTGAGATCGTGTTCCCGAGGCTACGGCTCATTTGAACCTGGGACTCCAGAAAACGAGGGGCCACTTGACACATCTGGAGAAGACAGGGGCGGGTACCATGACTGCATTTGGCATTTGCGGGGGCCCGGGGGCTTGGTGTTACTCAACTGAGGATTCACCATGTCCGGGCTGGGATCCCATAATCATCTGCCGTGAACCAGGTAAAGAGACCAGGAAGGCAGGGAATACTATGGCCAGATTCTCGGGTTCGTCAGTCTGGTATTGATACGTCAACACGCGACAAAAATCAATTGCAAAGAGCGGCAGGCAGGGTCTGTCAATGCTGTATGACAGGGGCATTTCTCCGTGGGGGATTTGCGGATCTTCAGCTTCACGAACGAGGCCAATGAGAGTTCCTTTGACAGGGGAGCTGCTACCCCTGGTGCGCTCGCACTGCGGGGGTTGCAGTGGAGCTTGTGGAGTTTGGGGCCGGCAAACTTGGAATTAGCGACTCAGGACGAACTTCGCCGTCCTCATGACCAAGACCGGCTCTTCTCTGACGACATGATCCAATGCTTTCCCCGCGGTTTCCCCGTTATTACTCCATCTAGACAGGCCTCATCAACTGTTTGCGGTGACAAGCAAGTCGAAATGGAAGAACCCTGCGTGGTTAGCCCACCTAGCATCGTTCCCATCAGATTAGACAAGCCCGGTCTCTGGGCAGACTAGCTTTATGCTCGCCGGCTGGCCTGTTTAATGCTCGAAAGGGAAGTCCTAAACACCCGGTCTTTCGGCAGCTTTCTCGGTAGTCTGATCCGGTAAATGGAAGCGCCGACGGCATAGACCTCTTCCACAATCCTTTCCATGTGCCGACTACGAAGTGTTTAGGCTTGACAATAGTTCGCGACTGCAACGCACGATGATCTGGTTTGGAAGCTCATAAGAACAGAAAAGGCCAGAGAAGGTATCCAAGTACGCAAAAATGGCTCAGCTCGAATTTAGCATCCCCTCCACCATACCGGAGCCGTTCTCGCCAAACTATCTCTTCGCGAAAGACGAGATCCCCGAGTTCCTCGTACCAAAACGGGTACACAATTTTGTCAACACAACATCCGCGAACAGCCTCACGACTTCTCGACTTGATAGCTATGCCACTCTCACCAACTCCACAGAGGAGAGTGGTAGTGTCACCCTTGACTATGGCGTCGCCGTGGCCGGCATCCCAGTGCTACATATCCACGGACTTGACACGCCTTCCAACAGGGCGTTGATTGACTTCACGGTTTCCGAAGGCTACCCAGGGATCACAAAGAGCGAAGGCGATGGGCCATACCCTTTCTCAGCCGGTGCCGATACCTCCCGCCGTGTTCGCTTTCGAGTGAGCGGCCCGGGCTTCTACGAGGCCAAGTGTGTGCAAGGAAGCCAGCGCTGGCTCAAGGTCTCTCTCATCACGAAGGGCTCATGCTCCGTACGCATTTCTCTGGTAGGCTTCGTGCCTACAACCTCGAATATTCCGGTTGATAAGCTTCCGGGATACTTTCAATGCTCTGACGAGACTCTGTCAGAGCTCTGGGGATATGGAGCGAGGACGTTGCAGCTGAACTGCGTACCGGCTCGCTCAATACCTTCCCCATGGCAGGTATCGGAAGACATGGGTGTCTTGGTAGACTCTCAAAGATGCAATGCCTATGGGTGGGGACATTTGTGGACGGACTACAACTTGGAGTTTGATGGCATGATCCTTGAGGGAGGTCTGGCGTGGATGGTTCGCGTGTCTCCTGGCATGCCGGGAATGCTCTTCCAGCTCAATGTCGAAAATGGCAAAGCAGTCATTGAACAGTGGTTCGGCTACTACAATAAGCCCCAAACAACTTTGGTTCCAAAGCTTATTGCCTCAGTTGAGATCCCTGAGCCCAAGATATCTGAAGGTGAATGGTTGCGCATTAGGACGAGTTGCATCGGCGACGCCCCTGTGTCTATCAGCATCGACAACACCCAAGTTGCAACATTCAAGCAAGGCGGTCTCAAAGTCGGTAGGTGTCATCATCTTTGGGAGAAATTGAGTGACTACGCTAACTATTTCGCAGAGGGCTTCGCAAGTCTCGCAGTTCCTCCCGATCACCCTGATTTCCCCTATTTCCCCAAGGGCTCTGTTGCCATCGGGGCAGGGCAAGATCAACTTTGCCGTTTCAGAAACCTCGTGGTCCGAAATCCCAACAATGAAGTACTTTACCAATCTGGGCTTAATACACCGGCGGTTCTGGGTGACTTTGGGTTGAAGACAAATCAGTTTCCATTTGTCTTTGATGGTGCCAAGCGGGATCGATACCCATGGACAGCCGACATCATCGTGGGCGGACGATCAGCCTACTACTCCACGGCGGGCTCAGAGTACATACGAGGAAACATTGTCGCTTCTATGCTGAGGTTTAAGGGTGACGAAACAGGGCGCGGACTTCTCCCGGGAGGGGTGCCTCCTGGCCGATACTTCACCAGAGATCTGACTGACGGTTTCTTCGATATTGAGACAATCAACTACTCTCTCTACCTCATCCTTGTGATCTACGACTACTGGCTGTACACCGGAGACGATGCTTTGGTCAAGTCCTGCTGGGACAAGCTGAAAAGCTGCATCGCCTATGTTTTAGCACGAGTCAACAAGGACGGTCTTGTCTGCGCCGAAGGCTTCGACGCGGGAGACTACGATTACTACAATGGACTCCAAACAGGCATCTCGACAAAGCGTAATGCCCTGTTCATTGCGTCCCTCGAAGCCTGCGCGCATATTGCCTTGTGCCCAGGCATCTCCGACAAAGCGGCAGCAGAAGCCTACGCGATGTCGGCCATAAGCATGGTGGACGCAGTTCGGAAGCACTGCTTCAACGCAAACTCGGGACACTACAATATCACAGACACTCGCACCGAAGGCTTCCAGCAAGAAATGCACGCCTGGCTTATTCTAAAACACATATGCAAAGAAGAGCAGATGCCTAGCCTGCTCGACAAGTTCGGTTCCCTCGTCTTGCCCTCTACCGTCAATGAGGCCCCTTTATCCTTTAGCCCAGACACCCCCGGCCCACCGCCCGTCATCTCACCCATAATGTCCGCCTTCCACATTCAAGCTGCGCTTCAAGCAGGTCGACCAGCCGAAGGCGAGCGCGTACTTCGCAGCGTCTTTGGCCCCATGGCAGACAAATCAAGCGAACATTTCACCGGCACTACCTGGGAGTTTCTCAACCCCGATGGCACGCCTTTCAAAGGCGACTTTTGCTCATACGCGCAGCTCTTTGGCGCCGGGCCGACCTCGATACTGTCGCAGTACGCCCTGGGCGTCGAGCCTCTCGCGCCTGGGTTCAAGGAGTTTAAGATCTGGCCGAGGTTTGATGTGAATGGGCTGAAATGGGCGCAAGGAAGAGTACCGACGCCTGTTGGGGATGGAATCGTTGTGAAATGGCAAGTGTTCAAGGCTGGGTGGTTGCTGGAGGCCTGGGCGCCGCTTGGTCTCGAGGGCAAAGTGAGGATTCCCAGTCAGGTCTGGGAGAGGAAACAGAGTATTTCTGTCGACGGCAAACAGGCAGGGGTCGAACTTGAGGTGCCTTTCACGAAGCACATCAAGATTGCTGTCACATTCAGATAAGCGACAGCGTCTACCACATATCAAAGTCAACCCCGCGAATAACCTTGAAGCATTGTGAACGTGGCTTTCCTAACCCATTCGTAGTCCGTGCTTGGTCTCAAACAGGTTCCTTCGTGGATGGCCCCGCTTTCCCCCATGACTGGCAAAACGAAGCTATCGTCACCCACCACCAGGGCAGAGGCAAAAACATCAAAAAACATACAACACCGGGCATTCGCCGGTCGTCACCGACCCGACTACTACTCCAGCCCTCATTGGCTTATCTATGGGAGAGCGAACGGGATCCCGAGTTTTCCAATGGGTATGGTCGTATGTGGTAGTCTGGAGTGAGAAGGTGGATGATATACTGAGACAGCATGCCTCTGGTCCACATTTGCAGTCACAACTAAGGGATCTCGAAGGTACACATATTGTTTGCGATGATGTGCTTCAACTGCAGGTTCAGATAATATTTTGAATGACATGTGGAAGAAACAAAGATGCGCGGGGCTATCGAGGTCGAATATACTCAAATACGAGAGTGTGGGGTTAATAGCAAGTTGACACCCATGTAAGTACATGGAAGCCTTCTGCCAAACCCAGTCATTGCCATTTGTTATTGCTACTCCGCTATGAACCATCTGTTGGTACCGAAGGTATTTCAATGTGCATGAGTACTTCTCACCTGCCTCCTTTCCATCCCCTCACCAACCGTCCTTTGGCTTCCTTACCCTCCTCTCCTTCTCTCGTACGTCAGAGACGTCGCAGTTGTCGGCACTTGCACCATGTCTTCAACTGAGGCCCATGTTGACGTCGTCTACTCGCCACTGGACATCACTGAACGAACAGTCCTCCCTCGGTCCGACGGTAAGTCTCTCTGGGACAAAGTCCAGCCCACCGCCGCCTTCGAGTGCCCCAAAGCCCTGCTCCTGGTCTGGCCGATCTTCGGGCCCATCACCGACATCGCTGTCCTCGATAGCACAGCTGCCCCAAGCGAGGCATTCAAGAACCGGCAGCCGTTTGTGATCGAGAATCCGGACGGTTCTAAGACGTTTCACCCCGTGGCCTTGCTACCTGCTACCTACCCCCTTCTATCCCGCATCGTGGCATCTGCCGGCATTTTTGACGAATTCCTCGCGGTTAGCGAGAGGATGACGGAGCTGCATTAGTTTGACAGGGACAATATCAAGGAGGCTCAGCGCGCGGGCGTTACAAAGTTCTACTGCTGCGACGAGGAGTGCAAGAGTCAACCGTACTTGTTTATGACCGAGGAGCCGAAGCTGGTCATTCAAGCGTTGAAGAAGCCCTACGTCACCATTGGCGAGGCCGTCTCTGCTATTCACGAGTGGCTTCTTGCCATGCAGGAGGATATCCTAATTGCCGAGAGAGCGCAGTTTCCGGAGGACGATACTTGGGGTTGCCAGACGCCACTGCCATCGACGGACACGAAGTTTTGGGTTTCTGGTCTCTGGGGGACGAATGTAATGCGCCAGGGCGGCGTTGGTTTTGGGGAGCAGTCTAAGTGGAATCCTGAGACGGGGGAGGGTGCCCGCAGATGGAGGAGGAGTGGGAAGAGCTTTTGGAGATGGCGAGGAAGAAGCGACGTGACTTGCGTGCCAGGGGCGACGGCGGTCATAAGATAGGGACGGTAAGTAGATTAAGTGATACATATTGGGACTCTTGATTTAATTACGAGCAAGATGGAAAGCTGGCGGTATCAATGCGCTTACACGTACGTCTCGGCATTTGTGTCCATACGGACCAAAAAGGAGATGCCGCTCGGCAGACTAATATCCAAGTCATAGATGATTGCTTCGAGACCCAGTACATTCAAACCTCGAAGGGTGGTACAGCTCAGGGTTCAGATAAGTACTGACGGCCACTGAACCATTCTTCACAGCACAGGTGATGTATGTGTGAAATCCTAGTCCATCCTCGAGCCTCCGATGCTTGCTGCGTTGTCAAAAGTCAGCATTTCGTCCACATAAATGCCACTGTCAGACTCACCACAGACTCTTTACTCCTTCGTAATACGTCACACCATTTGCCAAGGACTTGCCTCTCCTTTGCAAGAATCCCGACAGACCACGCGCAATCTGCTCGTCGTCCCGAGCGTAATGTCGAACAGGCAGATAGACCTTGGGCTTGGGGAGCGGAGCACCAGGTTTCAGCTCTAGGTAGTACAGGATGCCGCTGGTGCGATGATCTATCGTGGGCAGCGGCCTCGACAAGGCACCCACGTCGTCTTCTGCGCCGGAACCAAAGACTGCAACCCAGAGTTCCTTGAGCGAGGACATGACGGTATCGGTGAGGAAGGGGAGTCGTCCACCCAAGCTCATGACGTCGATCATGCTGCTAATGGTCGTGTTCTTGGACCGGATGTAGATCTTGACGCGGGAGTCGGTCGGGTCAACGCAGTCTATTGCGACTATCTCCTCAACCGGCTGCTTCGTGGGGTGATGGCAGAGAATGAAGTCTTTGAGCAAGCTGAATTGGCCCATGAGTGTTGTCGAGGAATATTCTGGGCCTAGTGGTGGCAGGCTTTGTATTGCTTGCTCAACCAGGTCCAAACTCGATATGCCCAGAGAGGAGGCCTTCACGGTGGGTATGAAGTAAGACTTGACCGTGGTGCTTCCGTCGTCCTCGAGGTCAAAGGCAGAGAAGGTCTGCGAGGAAGAAACAGCTCCGTCTATATTGTAATCTTGACATCCATTTCTGGACATTTGGGTTGCATGATTTGAACAAATCGTCGTACTTTGCAGAGAGTGTCTGTACCAAGACAGATCGAGACCTTGAGCATATGATCTCGTTCTATTCAGTAGTGAAGCAGTAGCTTGTTCGTTGGCAGAACCTGCAGTCCATCCGATGGGCTCAACCGAGTAACGGACCGTGGGTGTGCTCTGCTCGTCAGACCAGGCCCAGCTGAGTTCAACGGGGGTGTGGTCGTCCGTCATGAAGCTCTCCCAACGAGGCGTTCTAACCGAAGGATACGGCCCGAGGGAGGCTGAGACGGCGGCTCCAAAGAACCCCCGGTGAACGGCCTTGGCTCTGTCGTCGTAGCTGGCCATGGTCATCATGGCGGACAGCGTCTCGCCCACCTCACGGTCCCAAGCCTGTACATGCGCGTCTCTAAGGAGCTCGGTGGTGATGAGATGAAGAAATTTGTCGTCAGATAGTCCGATGTTACTGCCAGCTCTGTCGAAACGAATAAATTAGCACAGAGTCGTGTTCAAATGTGTTGGAGAACGGGTACTTTGGCGTCACCGGGTCCTCATGTTCTTGGTCTATGTAGCCCCCATGGCTGAAGTTTGGGAGACTATTCATATTTGCTGTCAATAGAAGCTTACGGTGCGATGTCCATTCAGTCGCTACCGCGAGGTCGTCGGTGAAAGAGGTCAAATCTGTGGGATGCATGAGCATAACTGATCACAACCCTAGTGTCGAGAAAGCCGTTTGGGCTTATTTAAATTTTCTCGACATGAACTCATGTCCACAACATCAACTTATCTGCGTGATAAAGGTGCATGGAAAAGTCTGGGCATTTTCCCAACTGAGTAATCGCCGCGCATGAGAATATGTTGGAGCAATGCGAGACGGAGGTCAGCCCCGAATCACACAGTATCAACCCGATCCCTCATTCACTGCGCTCAAGACGAAGCTACACTGTCTTTTCCTCGCCGAAAAATACCCTGTCGATTGAAAATGAAACGTATGGTACTTTATGTAAATGTATCGTTATTCATGGTGCAGCTAAATCTCCTTATCAGGAATGTCGAGCGAAGCATTTTGTTGGTGGCTGTCTGGAAAACCGGCTCCTGAGTCGTGAAGTTTTTAGACTACGCCCTCTCTTACAGGAGCTTCTGTGAAATTTGCGTATTGATAGCTTGATCCCAACCAGTGAAGCAGAATCCATCTGTATCAAGAAGTGACGTTGGCAATGCCATAGTCTATGCGTGGTTAATATGGTTCAGACCCAAGTCTTTCTCCCATCGAATGTTATGTATGCGTCTACCTTCTCAGATCCCATGATCCACGACTAAACTTCACCGAGTCTTAAGACTGGAGGACTTTGTTGGAGTAATGCACTCAATGTAGCTTCACTGCGAACGTACAAACCCGAGATGCATGCGCCACGTTACGACCCTCCGCTGATTGAAATGGATCCCGTCCATGAGACTTAGTCACATTGTCATGAAGTCGTGCGATTGATAACGTTGTTACACAGGCTCACTCGCCAAGGACGTTGTAACGCGCGTCAGACAGAACCCTTTCTCAATGCGGTAGAAACAAGTCTTTACTTACGTTCAGCTAATTCTCACCAAAGATAAAAAAAAAAGGAAGAAAAGCAGAGGTAGGCATGCAGACGCCAAGAACGAATCCTGCTTCATGTCAGGCCTGCTTATGTACCGCAGTGTGCATGCCATTATGGGCTTAATCGTCGTGTCCTTCAGCGCAGACACAAACCTACCTCGCATTCTATTAACCGAGAAACAGAGGATGAAACGTTCGTCCCTCTTCTCATCACTGTCATTCCATCGTCATCAATTATTACCTCGTATCAATCGGACACATTTTCACCGTCCCGAACCGTACCCGTATCGGCCCGGCCCCGGCCCCGCATCCGCATCCGGGAGGCAAGCACACACACCCAAACCGATCCTTCGAGCCCGCGCGAGCTGTGGAGTAGGTTGCACCGCCTCAGCCCGGCAAGACGCAACCCCTTTTTTCTCTCCGCGGGCTGGCTTCCATCTGACACCTGCGAACCCCTGAACCTGCTCCCTTTAGCGTGCTGCAAAAAGAAGACGCTAAGATAAGGCGCGCGCGCGCTAACGCTTCGGAGCTCAAGATAACGATAACGACCCTGCACGGACCAAGCTTCTCCAAAAAACTTTTGGGATGCCGTTTTCCATCTCTGCCTACGTACCCTGATCTCAAGTGCTTTTGTCGCAAACAGCCTCGACGACGAAGCGCAAATCCTGCCTCCACGCGAACAAGTCAATTGTCGTCCCACACGACGCGAGAACAGCCCAAGCGCTTCGCAAAAGACAGACACACCATGGCACCCTCCTCAGAACCCGCCCAGTCGGCGCCCAAGCTCCCCGCCTCGGCAGACTTCAACGCAATCTACAACAGGATATCCCTCGCCTCCGCAAAGCAGACGACGTTCCTCAACTCCATGCGCGCAAAATACCCCTCCCTCGCGCGATCGTCTTCGTCGTTAGCCTCGACTTCCGCACCCGCCAACAACGGCACATTTTCCTCCCTCGCGAAACCGTCACCCGCGGCAACGCCTACGACCACAACGACCAGCAGAACCCGCGTGGCAGACGACTCCGACCTGCGCTTCGAGAACCCAAACACAGGCCTCGGCTACGCCACGCCCAAATCCGAGGAGCAGGCTTCCGCGGCAACGCGGGACTTGAGCCGTCGTCTCCTCGGCAAGCGTGGCCGCGAAGTCGACAACAAGACGGCGCAGAAGCGCAGGGTTCAAGAGGAGGAGAGCGAGGAAGAGGAGGGACGGAGCGGACTTGGCCGAAAGAAGAAGACCAAGAGGGTCAGGATGGATGAAGAAGATGTTCCCGAAGCGGGCGATGTTGTTGTACCAGATGTCGAGATGCACCGAGGCGACGCGGAGGCCGGCGTCTCCGAAGCGAGACCTGAAGATGCCATACGGTTAGGGGAGGCGGTGGTACCCGAGACAGGCGAAGCCAAAACAAAGAAGAAGAACAAGAAGAAGAAGAAGACGAAGAAGGTGGATGGTAGCGTCTAAGCGTAGAAGGCCGAACGGTTGTCGTCGTCGTCGTCGTCTCCGGGACGGTGGTAGAAACGGATCAAAACGGCGCTGAAGACAGGGCGCAGATCGACATTTGTTTGCGGCTGGCTCCCTTGACCCGAAGCCTTGGGACCTAATCTCACGGTAAACGTCATCGGCCTGCCTCCCTTGTCGGCGTCGTCGGGCGCATTTTTCAAGTCCCAGATCGACGGTCACCGCGGTCGACAGCAGCTTAAATCAGTGAAAATTATGTTCTGCATTGGCATTCGGTGTTGCATTGCACCTTTCCCACACTAGATCCGGCCAAGACCTCCCGTGGCATTCGCTATGGCACCATATCGAAAGCCACACATAGCTGGTGCTCCTACTAATCAGATATGGAAAATGCTTCAAATCACCTCATTCCTCTGACGCATCCTAAATGCAGTATCGCCAACGCAATTATTCCCCCATATGGACAAATCCTGACAAATCCCGCCGCCGAGTGTCCGTTGGGTATTCCTCTTCCTGAGCTCCGACAGTAAACATACAGCCTCCATCTGAGAGGGGAAAATATGAGAAAAGGGTCGCGCGATCCGCACTGGGTCTGGTTCTGTGACACCGCAAGGGCGCTGAATTACTAAGACTGTGTGGTGTATGTTTTTTGTGTCACGCAAGCCCGCCGTGGATGCTGTGTAAATGCGTGTAAATCGATAAGGGGTGTAGAACTTTTGGCTGTGAAAAAGTATCCAGATGGCCCGTCCACTTGGGGATTGAAAATGTTTGACCAGGAGCCTGATCTGATTATGTTGTGGCCGTGGGCTTCGTATACGTTTCGGGTCTCGTTTTTGGTGGACGGCCGTGGAGGAGGTATCCGTGCAAAATCATATGCCGGCCCGAATCCGGCACCACCTTTCTCCCTCTATACAAAAAGGAAACGTTTCCGACTTTCATCCGGTATTTGTCACAAAATGTACGGGCGCCTCGCCGTATGACGCGACATGCGCCGCGCGCCGAAACAGCATCGCAAGCTTGATCACTGCATTCGCTTGCGCTTGCGGTCATCGTCACCGCGCGGATCCTCGTCCTCGTCATCCCTCTCGGCTGTGTCCGTCGGGTTGAGGATGTGGGCCATGCTGCCGCGCCGAGTAGGGGGTCCTGAGCTGTCCCTGACGGACAGGTTCTTATTGTCTCTATTGGCCGAGTTCCACGACCAGGCTCCAAAAACTTCTCCGCCGCCGTTGGAGAATGGCGCAGGAGGAGTTGCGGGCCGGGAAAGAGGGCGTGACTGAGTAGCACCTTGTAGTGAGTAAGTAGACAACGACTCCCTGAGACGTTGGTCCTCTGGTGCGAGCCGACTGGGCGACGATGGCCACGGTCCTGAAGGGGGCCCGGAGGGAGGACCGGAAGCGAACGGCGGGGCGGCTGGCTGCCAACCATGGGCGCGAATATCGGCAGACGTGTGGCGTCTGGCAAGGCTTCCAGGAGGCGGCTCAACCTGAGCCAAGGGATGAGGTCCCGGCGGAGGTGGAGGTGGCGCTCCCCTCAAGGGGGATGAGGCCTGGGGCGCGGAGCTTCCGCCGATTGACCCGTACGGTCGTCGCGTGCTAATGGATAAGTTTGAAGGTACGGGAGGCCGGTAGAAATTCTGCCCTCTTGGCTGAGGAACTGCAAGATTGGCTCGTCTTGGGTCGTCTTGGGGTACTTGTCGGGGCGAAACAGGGGCATTTTCGACGTTGGAAAAATAAGCTCGGCTATTGGCGAAAGGGGACTCTTGAGGGTCGTCAATTGTCCGAAGCATATCCGCCTGGCGGGCCATTTCCGCCTGCAGGTTAAGAACTAATTGCTGACTGTCAGTAAATTTGCTCGCCCTCACAGGAGGCGGAACTCACCATCTCTGTGAACTGGATTATCTGGGCTAGGAACCAGGTTCAAAATAGTCCGCGATAGCTCTTGGTTGAATTGAAGGAGACGCGACATTGTCTCCATCACAGCCTGTTGTTTCACGTGCATGTAATGTGCGTTCTCTTCGCTTCTCTGCAAGCGCATGCTCATATCGTAAAGCGTGTGTTCAATGCCACCCATTCGAGGATCTGAGCCGTCGTTGGGAGGAGGCATCGGCTCCGCCGGGGTCCCTGGCTGCGACGGGCTCGGCTTGGAGTTGGGATATTCTCGGTGGACTAAAGCATGCCGAGAAGCTCTGCGCTTAATCTCCCGCAGCCCGACGAGATCGCCCCTTTTGAAGTTGCCATTTCCGTGCTTGAATTCCCACAGAGCAGTCTCCGGGTTGGTAGTGTGAAAAACATCGCTTACTACGTCGTGTCAGCCTTGGAACTTGCCCGTATTCGAGCTGAGCGGCGTTCTAACCTTTGTGAAATCCGTACATGTTGAGCTGCCGAACGAAAGAGGATATGTTGGTATGTTTGAAGTATTGCCTATTCTCAGATAAGCCATTGGCCAGAGTAGATTGGTACAAATTCACGTACGCGAGAACCTTGGAAAAGTCTGCCGAAGGAGACATAACGAAGCTCTCGGCGCTCGCTGACCACGATATCAGGTGCTGGATGCTGGGATCTTCAAGCATGCTGCGTTGCATTAGCCAACCCCCTCTTTTGAAGCAGCGTCTATTGCTCACCTGTACAGCTTGTGGATGAATGCAGTCTGGACAATCTTTGGCTGGTGGACAGCCGCGGCGGCAGCGGCTGGCGCAGCGGGCATTGTGACTGGGGGATTGGGGTCGGTGGGAGAAGTATTTTTACGGTCGCCGTTGGCGTCTGGATCGTGCTTGGTGGAAGGTGAAGAGGAGCTGGGGTTCGCAGAGGAGGTTATCTCCATTGGCTCACCAGGAGATGGAGCAGACATTTGGATAGTGGGTGTTGGAGTCGGGATAGGTACGATTCGGTTCGACGTCAGATCGGCATGGCCGTCGGCAGGCAGAGGAACTCTCTGCGGGCTCTCAGTCACGGTTGCCATCCCCTCTACATGGTGCAAGGATACATGTTAGCTTGTGAGACATGGGCGCAAAGGATCGAAAGGGAATGCGGGTTGGGGCGGGCAGGGGCGATGGAAGACAGAACCAGGGCGCCAGCGAGCGTGGCAGCGGAGGACCTGAGCAGACATTTGAAGGGCTTGTCTCACCTCATGGCTTCTTGGGAGGAGCAGGCGCGGAAGTGGATTCTGCACTGGTGCGCAACGAGGAGGTATTGAGCACTAGGCAGACGGGAGCAGGCGAATGAATGCTCAGGGGTTTCTCTTGGTGGATCGCGAAGTCGTGGAAGCGATGAGTCGCAGGCAATGTGGCATATGGGTGTCTCTGTCCACAGGTGCGACTGGCAATAGCGAGGTGGATTGAGGCAGGCGAGGGTAGGTGAATGGTTGAAAACCGGTGCGCGTTTCCGTCCTTGGTGGTCGGGGGTATGGTCCGTCTCTGGTCTTTGTTCCAGGGCTAGCGATATTTTGGAGAATTCCAAGCAAAGGGCTCTCGTGGAATGTAACGAGAGGGAATGCAAAAGATGCTGGAGCAGTTGTCCAACGGTGGCGGCGACGTAGGAAGAGAGTTGCAGAGTGAGATGAAGGTGAGGTGGAAGTGTCGAAGTTCTAGAGTTCGAAAGGAAGAAGAAGGGTTGTCGAAGGACAGGGCGGCCGGCAAAATGACGACGAATGGGGAGACAAGGACGAGGGACGGGGGTGTTTGCTGGCGAAGGTTAAAGTGGCTGACTAGATCGATAGTCGGTCGGATCTGAGGAGAGAAGGAGTGGAAGCACGGAGGGCGGGAGGTGTGAGGTGGTGGTGTATCCGTACAGAGACAGCCCAGACGAAGAAGTGAGGTACCGAACCGTCCTGGGTCGTTTTGGAGCAGCAGCAGCAGCAGCAGCAGCAGCAGCAGCGCGCCCGCAATGAGGGAGTCCGGGGAAAGGAGACAGATGAGAGGACAAGGTCGAGGTACCTCAGAGGTGAGTGGTAAGGTATTCTATCCCGAGTCCCAACCTATCAGGCAGATGCAGCGACAGGAGCTCTCTGATGCCAGTACCTCCTTGATGCAAGGTAGGTAAGGTAAGGTAAGGTAAGGTAGGTAAAGCAGACCAGACCAGGGGAGGGGAGAGAGATGGTTGGTGCAGCTCCGCGCAGCAGTTGCAGTAGCAGGTGCAGTAGTAGTAAGGTCGGGTAATAGTTGTAGCAGAAGCTGCTGCAGTAGGTAGAGAAAAGAATTTGAACGTAAAAGGAGAGGAAGAGAGAGGTTGATAGAAAGGCAAGGAGATTCAATTCAATGCACACACACGCACTCGCAAACGCACAGTGAAAAGAGAGAGAAAGAGTGCGCGAGAGAAGCCGAAGGTGGGAGAAGGAGTGTGAGAGGGAGGTGTGGCGCCTGTCCCACTGAGTGAGGATGTTCAGGATGTTCAGGTCGGGGAAGGCGTGGTTGATGATTGGAGCTTGCTGATTGGTCCCGAGGGGGGTAGATGAGGGGCCGGCTTTGCATGGGGCGGACCACCTCTGGTAAATGCTCCTTACCCTATGGGCACTTTACTTTACTTACAGCGAATTTTTAGGGGGATGAGTACCCATACTGTACATTCAGGTAAGGTAAGGTGGAAGAAAGAAAGGGGATGGATGGGATGCAGCATGGGAAAAGTGGATGATGAGCTGTGGGTTCAAGGTTGGGTGGTGCCGTGGTGGTGGTGGTGGTGGTGCTGCCAGTGGAAGGGAAAGGCGAAAGAGGGGTGCACTGGTGGGTGTGGTCCCCGCTGGTCACCTCAAGCTGGGAATGGAGGGTGAGAGTGGAAAGGAGTGGACAATTGCTGCTGGGATCATCACCGCGAGGTACTTTTTCCCCTTAGGCCAGCCCAGTCTAGCACCAGCACAGCACAGAACCAGAACCAGAACCAGAACCAGAACCAGAACCAGAACCAGAACCAAACACCGTCCAGCACCATCCAAGAGCAGCAGACAGAGTGCGAGTAGCGAGTGAGTGCCGCCCGCCGTAACTTGCAGACAACTTGCAGAGAGTTTAGTTCGGGTGTTCCCCAAGTACTGTACCTAAGGTAAGGTGAGGTAGGGGACACTCGACGCAAGGCATGCAGCCACGGTGCCTACGGTGCCTTGCCTCATGTATGTGCAGTATGTACCGACTAAGGTACGCAGTAAGGTAAGAAGGCATGGCAACGCACGTTGGAAATGATGGCGCCGCCGGGCCCGTACCGCTCAGGGTCAAAGTTTGGCTCGCCTGTCTGTGTTCTGAATCTGAATCCAAGAGGCGTCCACTTGAGATGAATACCCGACCTGTTAGAAACCCCTGACAGAATGTCCTTCCAGAAGGAGCACACAACTCGCTCTGCCTCTCTCTCTCTCTCTCTTTCTCTCTTTCGGTCTCAACTGTCCTGCTCTGGATTGACCTCGCCTGAGTGCACTGAATGCAAATGTGGCCAATCTTCTCTTCGTCCGTTTCATTTCATCAAGGACTTCTGCATCGACGACACGACCTCAGAATGCTTGCTTTCCAACCCCGGCACCACCACCAGTCTAGGCAAGGGGCTAGTCAATGACGACGGGCCCTGCCTCGAGGCTACAGCCTACTCCAGCTAACTAACCATCCAAGGTAGCTGCGTGGAAGAAAGAAAGCAGCAGCTGACTTTGCCTTATTTGAACCGAGTACTGAGCGAGAGCTGAATCACACAAAGAAGCTCAGCCGTGCCATGCCATGCCGTGCCGTGCCTGGGGCCTTGCACATGAAAATCCATCATTCGTGGCCCAAGGACTCGGCCCGTCGTCACACAGGGCCCCCGAACTCCCCAACTTACACCAATCCAAAGCTACTTCGGCACATGTGCAAAGTAGTTAAGGCAAGGTAGCTGGGTAGGTAGCTGAGGTACGGAGTACCCGTACCGTACCGTACCGTACCACACTATGGGTTAAAACGCATATCGGGTGAAGTACCCATCCTGCAAGCTCGTCGTTATGCCGCTTCATATTCTGATATTTCAGACAGATTCCTGTGGAGGTGTTGCCGTTGTCTCTGCCACTCTGCGCCTGTGCAGGGCTTGGTTGTGATGCAGAGAGCCATAAGGCAACAGGAGCTATGGTCAGTAGATGGACACGACAGAGGGCCTCGGACAACCTTGAAAATACCCCCAGATGCGCGCCCGTCCGTACGCGAGGTGCCCTAACACCGTACCTACCTAAGGTGAGGTAGTCAGCAAGACGGTCGACATGACCTTGCTTTAGCATGTCGCCTCTATTCAGCCGCTGGTCGGAGCCGGGCGCGCTGTAAGGTAGCGGATGGTCCAGGCGACATCCAACACAACATTTGTTAGAGAGCAAAAGGGCAGGCGGGTGTTGTTACGTGCCTAAGTCGGGTTTGTAGCGTGTGTGGGCGGGCAGGTGGAACAGACTCTGCCTTACTTTACGCTCACTGCACCTGCCAGACTAAAAAGTAAGGTACGACGTTACGTTGTACATGCCTTCCTCTCTGCGTTCTCTCCCTTCTAAGTGTACTCTCTACGGACGTCAGCCCACCTGGCTTACCTCACCTTACCTTACCTAAGGTAACCTAACCTGAGGTCGTAGGCCCGTCTCTTGTTCCCGGCGTCATGTTTCTGACTCCCGAACATCCTCCACGCCTAGGTGGGCAGCTTGCCAGCTTCCTCTCTGTGTCTCTCCTTCACCCCCCGTGGCCGTGGCCGTGGTCGTGGTCGTGGTCATGGTCATGGTCATGGTCATGGTAAATGTCTCCCTCACCCCTGGTCGCCCACTGCCTCTCCCTGATCACCCCCCAATCTCAAGTCTTACCTTAATCTCACATCAACCCCAGCAAGCCTTTACCTTGTGCAACCTGACCGACACCACCGCCGATATGAATATGCCACGATGGCAGATGCACATCACCGCGTTCCAGTCTCTTCGTTGACTCTCGTCTCGCTCTTTGTCTCCCCACCCCCGTCCACGCCTCCGCTTTCTTCTCCCGCTGCTCGCCTCCAGCTCCTCCTTCTCTGACAAGCTGTCTCACCCATGCAGCCAAAGATCTGGTCCTCAATCGCCAATCGTCGCCGCCTGGACGCACACACTGTTATCTGCCAGTACGGATACCAGCCAATGCCTGTTCTCCAAACCAACCGAGAGCTCAGATGCCCAGATGCGGCCGCGACCGGGGGTGTGGGTGGAGAAGACCCAAGGGCCGCTTGCTAGTCGACCTAGTGTACGAATACCTCACCTCACAGCAGCTACCACAGTTCGTCTAGCAGTAGCACATACACCACCGCTATTCAAGCTCGCCGCCCTTTCTTCCGCCGCACCACGCCTTCCAAGGCAACGAACAACCTCCTTTGGTAGGCACACGCAAGTGACAGTCAAGCCCAACCCCCATGCCATGATATGCCGGCCTGCATCTTCGCTCTCACTCAGGGTCGATATGATACTTCTTCGGGGCCTGCGTCAGGTTGAGGGACACACAAATGTCATTGACACGTCCCAAACGCACAACAACATGAGCGGCAGGCAATCATCCCCACAGGACGCCGCAAGTCAACCCACACCGGTATCGTTTGTGGACTACACCCATCTCCCAACTTGCAGCCTTGCGCCCGCAGCCGTTTGCTGGGGATGGCCGACAAGCCAACTTGACCCGTATTTCCCTTCAGGTCTGTGTCTTCCGACACCGAGCGAGCGGCGATCTGGGCAAAGCTGGGGAAACGGTCGTCTTGGACTTAGTGGCCCCAAGCTCC